ATAAAACCAAACAATCCTCTCATCTCTTCCTAATTACATTGTTTTATTCTTTGTATTTATTTAAAGGCTGTGATGCAACAATTACTTTACCGACGACACTGATTTCACCGAACTTTCCGGATACTTATCCGGATAATACGCGCTGTGAAATGCGCATCTCCGCACCGGCTGAGCACGTGATCAACGTACACATCACTCATCTCAATTTAAACCACGGTGTTGGTAACCATGGTGACAGTTATCAAGAAGATGACGATGACGTATGTTTCAATAAAGACACTCTAGTATTTAGTGAAGATAATAGTGAGGACGTTGAAAGTATAATATTATGCGGATTCGAGCATGACGACCATGAAAATGTGCGCTCTTCAAGTACCTTTATGCGAATTGTATTTCAGTCAAATGGAAACCGAGATGATTCTGGAACAGGATATAACCTGAGTATCTCTTTCCTAGCAGGTACAATGTACAGCAATACATGACAGCTATCCAATGTATATACGTAATATCTTGCAATGCTACTAAGAACCAAACTTTTGCACTGTATATACATCCGTGTTTACTGATGGCCATGAACGCGCGCCACTTGCAGTGGAGTATCTAGGGGCTGTCTCTTATACACATCTAGATTTGTATAAGAGACAGGTTTACGACCTTCCCGCCCCCTCTCCCCGGTTTCTCCCAAAAAATCACGGTAAAGTATAGTTAAAAATCACCTAATATCACATATTTTGCGAATACTGATCATCGAGCCCCCCAACCCCCACACAACTTCACATTCGCGCCCCTCATCAGCAACCCCATTTTCAAGACTTCTAGATACGCCACTGGCCACTTGTGGATTATGTTTGTGATTCACGAACTAAATATGTTTACGATAGACAACGGAGGATGAATTCAGGTCCATCTTAAATCCCAAAGGGAACCCATGGGACTGTGCTGCAGCATTAGGGCTGTTGAATAATGTTATCAATAATAAGACAGCGTGAATTCAAGAGAATCATACGCTAACACATACGGTAGGTCTGCAGCATACACGTAAGTCTACATACACAAAGCAACATATAACATAACGGGATACACTCGATGCTCACCTGAGCAGTGGTGGCGCTAGCGGGGGAAGGGGGCAGGTGGAATTTTCCCCCCCGTCGGACAGGCCTGGACCCCCCAAAATTTCAAAAAAATAATAATTTGCCTATAACGAATTACGCTATTTTTTGTCAATCCCAAGTAATTTGGTCTAAAATCACATTTAGCACCAAATTAAGCCATAAAAACTCTCCCCATGAACCCTAACAGGGATTTTTTTTTTATTCCGGGCCGTCGACCGAGGCTTCGTCGTCGCCTTGTTTCGGGCCCTTCCGTCGGACATGTCGGACCCTTTGTCGGCAAATTCTGGCGCCATTGCTGCACATGAGAGAGCGTCAGAACAAATACCATTTAGACTATTGTTACTATTGGAATTATTTCATTAAAAATCCGTAACTGGGAAATCAGTACAGTACATTTTGTTTTTGTTACATTTTTCACAATTCTTTTTTCGTTTTTGCAGTGTGTGAAGAAAATCTAGAAAGATATCGGTTCGGTTTGATCACTGTACTGATTCTTTTTATATTGCTTATTATTTTCTTCGTCATGCTTTTGTTAAAATGGCGCCCAAAGGCCAAGAAGACCGGCAGTTCATCTACGAGTGAAATTGGGATGGAGAATGTTGGTAAGTGAAATTAAATTATGTGCCGGAGGTCATGTGACAGGATGGGTAAGATGTCATCTAAAATGTGTTTGTGATAAAAGAGGTGTTAGAGACCTACTCTACCATACTACCATATTTAAAGAAGCTAATAGGCCTACCTGTTGGCGTGCACTGCATGCATGAAAAGCAACAAAGAGTCGTTTCCGAGCCTTACTTATTATTAATTAATGCTATAGGCCCTATTCGATGCTATATTCAATGCTATAATGCTTTATTCAATGGTATATTCAATAATTCCATATTCAATGCTATATTAATTAATGCTATATTCAATGCTATGGGTATTCAATAATGTTATAATCATTAATTCTATATTCGATGCTATATATTCATTAATGCTATATTCAATGCTATACGGAACTCATTAATGCTATATTCAATGCTATATTTATCTATAGGCAGGGTATCACCCGTCTTAGTATACACTAGAAAATCAGTCGCCTGTTTGTCTAGTTGAATCATCAGACAGTACAGAAGAAAAGGTTTATTACAACTTAGTTGACTTTTCTGATTAATGAATTAAATGGAAACTTAAAAATCAGGAAGTTGGTACGTGCGTATAATGTCGCCATTCATTTCCGTGATACAATATAAGCGGCCTGCTCTCTAAAGTACGATTCATAATAAAACCGGTTTACATCACGTTCGCCACACTCACCTGATCCCCATCCAGCACCAAGGTTTATTAATAACAAAATCAATGACGTAATCGATTGTCAGTAATTAAAGTGGCATTCATGAGTTGTGGCGTTATTATTTTGGTACGCCATCATCTTTATGCATTATTGAAATGAAGGGACATTTAATTAAAGATCACGATTTAAGATTTCATAATAAAATGCTTAATGTATTGGTTGAAAACGTAGTAATATCGCATGTCGGATTAGAACATTACTAATGCATGTTCGTACTGCGTACCACTTCAGAAATTAATCTATACAAGCATTAAATGTTATAAACAAGCTACGGTATTTAGTTAAAAAATTCATTATGGAGATAGGCATGATGCGTTCACGTCATCACCGCACGAACACATCGTGCGCGTCATTATTCAGATGTATGTATTTGTCATTTGTAAAAACGTTTTACATAGAAATACAATAACGGGATACACTCATAAATAAATAAAAGAAATATATAATAACAGGTAAAAATGTAATAATAGGCCTATATCCCCTGCCGGACACCATCCCAGTATTTCTGAATCGTGGTTTCGGGGCCATTATAAATTGAATATTAGGTTTAACTATACTGACTAACTAAAACTACTGTAAAATACTATGGTAGAAACATTATGCCATGTTGTGACCATGATGTTTTCTGATGCATTACAACGTTCATCTAACCATGTTTTTATTTATTTTTTATTTTTCAATTTCTAGGTAACAATACAACAAAAACATAACTATAAAAATACAATACCTGAGGATTATAATGAGTGCAAGCACTGTCAGAGCGGCTCTCCGTATTGAATTCTTTACGTATACTAAACATTAAAATTATCTCTCTAAGTTCGATACAAAAATGAAATAATAAAATTTTATTTCGTCAACAAAATAAAATAACATACATTAAAGCTGCTGAATATACAAACGAAGAGCCAATGAAAATGATTTAAAACTGTATATTGATTGTTCTGGCCTACTAATAATAGGAAGAGATTCAAGGACGAGGAAAATTTATAAAGAATGAATATTTAAAAGACTTGGTTCTGACAAATTTGTATTTTAAAATTACGGAATCTGAATAGGCCTATCTGTGATTGAAATCAATAACATCATGTATATTACAATTTTGTCCATAATTACACATAAATATATTTCATTCTCTGATCCATAGTTGCTAAATTACGGTAAGTTGTTCAATTCGTTGTTCAAAATCTCCCTTAACACAAAGTTTAGTAATTCTACGTAATGGTTTATTTACACTCCGGCATCAGCACATTCACCCAACTAGACACATGAATGAACAAAAGAACAAAACACCAAACTGTGTGTAATTGTCATTTTTTACTAAAATAACTAATATAATAATAATAATAATAAACAGAATCGGGATCAACAGCTTACTTAATCAAATTAAGCTCTCCGTGTAAACACCATTTTAAATTATAACCAAAACACAATATCTGAAAGCATCATTAAAAACTTTGGTATACTAAAACAATATTTATATATTTATATATTTATATATATATATATATATATATATATATATATATATAAATATATATATATATATACATATATATATTTATATTTATTTATTATATTTTTATATTTATTT